GATCTTTAGTTTATTTGACAGGAATCTAGAAGTAAAGAACTGTGTTTTGTGTAGAATGCAATACAGGACTAAGCCCACCTGCCACACATTTGTTGGTCCAGACGTGAGGAACCCATATTTGTTGAATTCTGGTGGGATATGGATCGAAGTACCAAAGAAATAATCATAGTGGTTTTGGTCATCAAAGCAACTTAGACCAAAGTCTATAAGATAAAGTTTTGGGACTTCTGACTTGGTCTCTATCAGGATGTTCTCAGGTTTAATGTCTCTGTGGAAGATGTTTGCCTCCTGAAGGTGAACTAATGCTTTTAGCAGCTGTTTTATCATGATCTTGGCATCCTTCATCGTTATGCGACCCTTGTGTTTTTGAATGTAGTAAAAGAGGTTCTCAGCAGGCATGGGTCTCTCCATAACTAAAATCAATTCCTTATCCAGATCATACCAGTCTAGCATGGACACGATAGCTGACTTCCCCTCTGAACTGGTTGTTTTATCCCTCAGTTCTAACATGATAGCCACCTCACAGGGCATCTCCATTCCATTCTCATAATCATATACTAGAATCCCATTGGCTTTTTGGATGTGTTTGATGGCTACAGGTAATTTATCATGCACACGATAACCAGCGAAAACAGATCCACAGCCTCCTTCTCCAATCTGTGTTTGCTCAACATAGGTCTTCCTAAATTTGGCTCTAAGGGAATCCTCTGTTTCATCATTGGTGTTGTCTGTCTTCAGTCTTTTCACATTCGGTGACTCTAGAAAGTCCTCTGCCTTTCTCTTTAGACCTCTTTTCTTTAAGTTTTGTTTTTCTGTTAAGTAGTCAATCAAGACCAGTTCTATGAGTCTGTTTACCTTTTTGGCTAGCAGTGATCCTCCCTGCTCAAAGATGTTAGTCTTTTTACTTCTCACCATACTGATGGGGTACAGGCAGCTTTTGTAGACTTTTTCCCCCGTAGAGACCTTAAACTTTTTTCTGGCGGTGGAGTCTCCCTGCTCAAATATTTTCCTCTTGTTGCTTCTCACTGTACTGATCTGGTCCTGGCAGCATGTGTAGTATACATCCCCTGTAGAGAAATTCAACTTTTTTCTGGGGGTCTCATCTATGGTGCTGTTTTTTCTCTTCCTTTGATTTTCTAGTGCCATTCTGTAAAAATATCTGCAGAATCTTTGTCTTCTGTGTACTTTAGCAATTATCAGTTTACCTTCAAGCCAAAACGCTTTTAACGTGTTAACCTTGTGTTACTCAGGCAGTCTGAAGGAATTCTGAGCTCAGAGCAGTGATGTAAGAGCCTTCTAAATATTCTGCTGACATCACTGTGACATCACAGTGGGCGTGGTCTTAAAAAAGGAAAGGAAAATCAAAACAGGGTGAAATTATCTAGAACATTCCAAAATGCAGGGTTGCCTAGCAACCACCCAATGGAACAAAAAAAGGTCCCAGAAATCAAATCAATAACTCAACATAGGGCTTCATGTTAATTTATTCCAGGAAAGACTTGGTTTGAGATAAAAATCTTCATTAAGTATTTTTTCAGGAGAAATATGTGAATTATGCTTGATTTCCTGTCTCTGAACAATTTTCTGTTACAGCTTTAAACTGATTCTGAATTTAGTTTAGTTATATAGTACCAATTTAGAGTGCATTAGCCAAGTCATTTACAGAGATATTGCTATTTACAGAGGCAGTTTAATCAGAGCATACATACAGATTAATTATTTCATATTCAAATGAAAACCAGCAGATCACATATATATGTCATTGACTTGCAAAATTCACAGCTTCTGGATGGGTAAATCAGTGAATATTTCGCTATGCAAGCACCCTTAAAGAAAATCGTGTTGGGTGTGATTATCCCTGTTTATTTTCAATAAGCACTAATTGTCCGACCTGTTATGGCAGGATTTTCTATCAGGTGCAAAATCAGATTTGGTGTGTTTAGGGCTTTAAGGGATACTGTAGATCAGAGGTCTTCAAAGTTTTCCAGGCCAAGGACCCCTAAACTGAGGGCAAGATGGAGCGGGGACCCCCTAATTATATATGCTGTATGAAATTGTGCTATATCAAACAGGTCCTATAGTCACTCTATTACAGATGGAGTTATGTAACAAAAGGAATTTTGCCCTGGGATTATTGAAGTATTTCTGATTCTGGTTCCTTTTTGATGGGACAGGTGTTGTGAATGAAACGGCGCCCAGCTTGAAAGAGCTCCTGTGTGTCACTGAATGTGTGCATTGATGATTGAAAGACATCTTCTGTCTCACTTTATCTGTTCACTACAGTGTGTTGAATTCATGTTCATGTGTATTGAAAGACATTTCAATTAGTGGAAAAAATTGCAGGTTGGAATATAAAAAGTCTAATCAACCAAAACTTTAGCGACTCCTGTAGACCCATTAAGGGTCGCAGGCTGTGCTGTAGATGGTGTTGACTGAGCTGAGTTTTAAAACTGCATATTCTAGGGATGAAATTGATGTGGAGGACTATTGACAGACTTTTCAATGTAGGTAAATTTGTGCCTCGGAGTGGATGCAACCAATTTGATGCAATGATGGAACAAGAAGGGAATTGAGCACGCCCAATACAGCGTCGCTTTGGTTATATTTTTAATTTAGTCTAGAGCTGCCAATGATGTCCTTGAGGCCAAAAGGTTATAAACCATTTGATATAGAGAGTTTATTAGGTTGGGCTGCTGTTTTAATATGCACATACTAGACATCTGGGTTCTGTAACTGATCTTATCTGTCGTGCCTGTTCACTTTATCAGTTTCACTGTTGGTGAATGAGAAACGTCCTCTCGAGTCCTTGTATGCAGTGGCGGCCGGCCCATAGGGGGCGCTGGGGCACCGCCCTCCCTAGAAGAGAGAAACGTAAAATATATTTTTACAAATTAACTCATAAATGTCAGTTTTACTCTCTAGAGTGTGTACCTATAAGCAAAACAAATTATATAAACTACATTTCCCTACCTACTGTCATTCATTTGTGGATTTCCACAGACAGACTACTACCGTCTCTGTCTTGGGGCGCTGATCAGACTGTCCCACATGTGCAGAGAATCTGCCAATCATGTACTATTGCTAGGTCAATTTAATAATTTAATGGCCAATCAGCGTCTCAGAATTTTATGGTCTTGGCGCGCTGAAAATACTGCCCTTTAACTGGCTTCTGCACCCAGAGCGTAGGTGCAGTCAATTAGAGGGACGATGGCGAACGTAAGGAGCGAGGTCCAGCTTCCACCAAATTCGGTGAGATCCTTATTTATCTACCCGTTTGCCAGAAGAACATCCCTGTTGTAGGATATGAAAATTTCATGTCATGGTTATTGTGACTGTGACGAATCCACCTCGTCACTTAAAACAACCTCTCTAACTTTGCGTGCCACATACACATTCCTGTTATAGGCTACTGTGCTTGTGAGGACCAATACACTCGCGCTTAGCCCTACAGTAGCACTCCATTAACTTAAAACACACAAGCTGCTCCTGGTTACCTGCTGGCGTATTGAGGGTGCACACTTAATATTTCAGTGGGGTTAACCGTGTGTGTGTGGGGGGGTGTGCTACGGGAGTTGTCATCTTCAGTCTGGCAGCGTATTTGCTGGGTTCAAAACCGAGGCAACGCTCAGTAAGCGGTTAAAACACCAGAGTAACTGGCTAAATGTTTGTCAGATTCTTATTTTTTTTTAATTCTATGTTTAAAAGTTTGGTGTAATTGAATAAGTCAATGAATCTGTGTAAAGGAATTAAGTTGTAAAAATTATTTGTTTTTGTATATTAAGTGCTTATGGAGGTAAATATATGGACAAAACAGATTTATGAGAAGAAATCAGAAATAAGAGAGCCTGAGGGGAGGGGCTTAAACTATTTAATGAGGGCTGTGGGAAGAAATGCTGCCATTTTTGTTTTCTGTTTCTTTGTTACATTGCAGGTAACTGGAGGGAGAGTGATGCCCAGAGTATCTTGTATATGTTTAGTTTCTTTTGAACCCTGTTTTGAGTTTTTGAGCACAATAAATCACCAACACCGGTAACCCGACTGAGCCTGGATTCTTGGAGGCCAAAGAACCCCGTCACAGTGACCAAAATCATCCCTGTTACTGTTATTATATAGTAAATGAAATCATTACTGTTAAATTGTATTTATTGTCCAATTGTTTATTTTAATTCTTATTCTGGATTCGTTGCAGACATACACTAGGCTATATCAGCCCCACCAAAAATATTTTTCACCAGCCACCACTGCTTGTATGTCTAGTGAATCTGAAGAATTGACATTAAAGCTGACTTTGACTTTGAAATGTTATCGGTCTACTGCATATTGAGAAAATTTAGGTCGGTATTGCTTAACAATCGGGAGATGAGGACCCCCCCAAATATTGACAGGTATTTCGCACACTGTGTATAGCACTTTGTGCCTTTGGGTGTTGAAAGTTCTTCATAAATAAATTTGGTATGGTATGGTAATAATAGTAATTTAGGTACTAAGCAGCATTGTAAATTGTAAATACTGTTGATTGTATATACTTAGATCCTTATCTTATTTTATTCTTACCCTTATATAATTTTATTTGTGTATCTGATTCTACACTGTTTGTATGGGAAGTGTGCAATTTTGCTGCGTTGGTTCTAATTTTACTTATTTTACTTACTTATTTTATTCTCTCTTATTATATTATAATTTTATTTTTCTCTATTGTACTTCTTTAAACGCTTGCAGTGCAAGAAAGGAATTTCCTGCAAGTGATTGATAAATTAATTCTGATTCTGATCTATTAAATATAAAGTTTACGATTGTTACTTGAGTATTTTGTATTCACAGATTCTCAAATACTATTTAAATTAAAACACACGTCTCCAAAGAATAACAGGTGGGTCACTTGGAAGCCCAAAGATCCGATTCCTACGAGTGATCCGAAAGCTGAGATCCCAAAAAACTGTCGGAATTCCCACTGCCAGAAACGAAAGGTTCGAAACTCTCGCGATAGTTCAAAGTGGTTACCAGGGGAACGCGATCTCAAAAGTTATTTGCTCTGTGATTTACATTTACGAAATAGCGCCAGAGCCATCGCTCTACTTTGGTCTTTTTTAGAGTCGCTCAAACTGATGTGCCGCACATGAAGTGTCGCTCATGAAGGAAGCGTAGAGCCATGAGACACGAGGACGTTTCGCTCTGTCGTCCGCTTACAGTAAGGTTTGTATGTTTGGTTAGGTAGCATTAGCATGTCAAAGCTATGTGGCTAACTAACTGACAGTTTTTCGCAAAGTGGCAACATAGATATACACATTTTCAAGATGGCGAGTGTTTATTTATACTTTCCGTGACAGATTAATTGAGAAGGAGAGACGTTTAAGTATTTTTGTGTTCGGAAATAGGGTTTGAATGATCAGTGTGTCAAATATAGGCTCATGTTTACTTTCTGCCTGTGGGCCAATATAGATTGACTGTTCGCGCTTAAATTCGATACTGCTGGCAAGTGACACAGATATGTGTCATTTAAGGCAGAGAGTTACATTTATGCTTATTGTTCTATTGAAGTTATGGGTGTTTTTCTTATAAATTGATGCTACTTTCCCTCCCACACAGGTACGTCCGTCAGAGAAATAACTAGTCACCAAGATGCCGTCCCCACAAGTCCTCCAACCGGTTCTTAAATTAAAGGTTGACGAGCTGTTTTTCAACTGGTTGAGTGATCCTGGGACACAGTCCGCCCTCAAATATGGCCTTGATCTAATTAAAAGTGGACAGTATAACAGCTTGGGTAGTGGGAGAGCACAGGACAAAAGGTCGTTGAGTTTTAACGAGAACAACAACGTTGCATCGCAGAAGAACCTTACAGAGAAGAAACCTGCTCCACTTGGTGCCTCTTCAAGCCCCTCGCCTAACAGCACCCTGCCTTCTCGCAGTAGCAGCAATGCACGAATAACAGGACCCAATGGAAGACAACTACGGAGGTCTGTCAGCACCAAAAAGGTAACCTATAGCTTTTAATCCAAGTCAAGGTTTAAGATGAAAACAGGGCATTCTTATCATTTCCAAACACAAGCTCCTCTCTACTGACATTTCTTTCTTTTGCTTTCATACTTGTCATAATTTGAAGCTGTTTCCGTCCATCCTTCCATATGTCATGTTCTGCTCACAGGAGTAGCTGCTGCAGTTGGGAAACCTAGTAGCTTCTCTATCAACTCATTCTGGGGTTGATTTTCAAGATAGACAAAAGCGAAACACTTTCTGTCTGTTGATCTGCATCCGCATTAGTTGTCGACTATTTCAAATAAACTCTGGGAAAGCATCATTCATAACTGAGACAACATGGCCCTGGAAAACAACATTGATAATATATTGAGGAATCAGGTTACCCCTTCTTTTGAGTTAATATCTTCTCCTTTTCTAAGTAAGATATTATTTACAGATGACCTAAACATTAGATAGGAGTTGTTTATTTGTCAAACAGCCTGTTTTCTGCTGTATAGAAATATGGTTATTTGACTGGTGTGTTTATTTTATATTGGAAACAGGTCATTCAAAGTTCATTTTATTATTGTTATGGAGAGTTATTTCCCATCATAGCAATCATTCAGGATTTTCGAATATGACATGCAGCTTAATATCATTAAATTCAAAAATACTTATTTTCTCAAAGGAAAATTAAATGTAATAACTTAGTTTTTTTTTTTTTTTTTTACGGAGATTCAGCAAGTTTTTGTATGTACTGATAGTGGTTTATCTTAAACCGTATCTGGAGAAGCCTCTTACTAAAGACACTTGGTTGTTGTTTAACAATCTGATGAAGAAGGTGATTAATTGATTGACTTTACTGGTCTCACAGAGGAGAAATTTCCTTGTTACATCAGCTCAAATAGTCAAAGGAGAAGAAGAAGGTGCCAAAGGAACAAAAAGGCGCATGGGATATATACTCACTATGCTCACTGTTGCTAATTATATTGTTCATTTTGTTAGGAAATTAAGAAATCCTTTTTGGAAAACAGAGAACAGAGGCTTCTTTATTAGCTTGTTGAGATTTGTTAAGTCATTAGCTCTAATGCTGTTACCCCAGCAGATGATGCAGAAGAGATCACACTCTCCACAACAGAGTGATAGAAGATATGTAGCATCTTATTGTAAACGCTGAACACCTACATAAGCTTCTTTAGGACGTGCAGTCTGCTCTGTCCCTTTTTGTAAACGGCTTCACAGTTGCGTCTTCAGTGGATTCTGTTGTCTAGGTTAACACAAAGGTATTTATATTATAGCATATTTATCATTTGAGTTACTAAGCCACTACTTGTCTCTGTAATTATTAAGAAAAACGGCTTAATTAACAAGAGAATTAGAGGTAATATACAGTTATGCATGAATGTCACACAGTTTATTTGAATGAAAAGGTGGAATCAGAGTTGACTTGAATCTGTACATCCCAGCCCTCAGATTCTGTCTCATTTGTTTTTGTATTATCACATTTTAACAAAAAGGAGAACATATGTGAGCTTAAGAAACCCCTCATCTTTGTTTTTGTTGGGGGGACAAACTGCCTCAACAGTGATAAAAGCAACCCCCTTTAATCATTACTACTGTTATTTTTTTTTACACTAGAATATCTGTGACCTAAGAACTGCGGTTAAATGATATTCCGATGCAAAATAATTGCCTGTGATACAGTTTGGTATTATATATAGTTTAAAGTTTAAATATTCAAAATAAACTAATTAATTCAATAGTTTTAATATTTTCTTGTTGAATCTATACATGTATGTTTTCTTAAAAGGATATTTGATACATTTTGCTGTTTTGAATGATTGTAATGTTTTCATTTAAGCAATTATTTTCCCACATTAACAGTTGACCCATCAGTATGCATGATGTTGCGCCTCATAAAGGTACACTGGAGCTACTACCCTAACAAAAAAGTTTTCCAATGCACTGGATGGTGCTATATTTGTACTTTAAGTAGAATTAAAAACAATGTTTTATTCCATGACTTCATGGAAGTAATAGGTGCAGCTGCAGAGACACGCCTGCATACTTTCCAAAATAACACTGGATGTGTTTATTGTGCTGTACACTTGTCATTTTCTAATGGATTTTTACTTTCTCCTGCTGGCCACAAGAGGCTGCTGATAACCTCACAGTAATTATGGGATTCAAAGAGCTTTCTTGTTTGGGTCTATGTTTTAGATATCAATCAAACACTTTTAAAATTTGCACAGCCTCTCCTTTAACTGAATAATAGTTTGCTGACCCCACCCTACCTATTTTGCTCAGGTTAATCCCTTTGTTATAGATCATAGTTTGTTAAATCTAAGCCCTTATTATAAATACTTATAAATATGGGTTTGCAGGAAAAGTTATTTAACCAAAAAAGATTCTAATATCTGATAAAGAGCTTTTGTCCTCGTATTGAACTTTGAACTTGAGTGAGTGTGATGACGCAGAGACGGTCAGGCAGCTGGGTGTACGTCCTTCACAAGATTACCCATATGTTGACATGCTAAAGATGGGCACAAGTTAACATTCATGTACCGGTAGTTATTAGCTGATTGTGTGTTTTCTCTCTCTGTCTGGAAGACCAGTACAGGAGCTTGTATTGTGAAGTGATGAGCTGATTTCACAATTCTGTTTTGTTAGAATAGGTTTCTTTTCCATCTCCTAGCTGCACTGCTTGGAAACTTTACTAAAGGGTTTAATGAATTTAATCAGGAGCAGTCTGTGTGACTGCATGCTTTCACACCCCCTCCTCCCCATAACCTTTAGCCCCAATACCCTCTCACCAGAGATAATTGTAAAGCAGCTGTTGGACAGTACCGTATTCTGCTCTGATGTACCATGTTTTACAGCTGCTCTGTGTCACTCGCCGTCGACGAGATCCTGATGCAGGATGGGTGTGATACTTCTATTTTAAGACAACAAAAATCAATTCCAGCATTCAGAGACATTCTTTAAAGGATTACTCAAAAATTAAATTTATGTCACACCGATGCCGGCTGGAACAGCTGCTCTGACTTTGACATCAGACACTGATAAAGATAGCCTTGGTTCCCTTGTGTTGGCATTAGATACCCAGAACTTTGGCTGAGAGATGAGGTGTGGCAGCGCATTCATCCTCTGCTTAATTTACTTTTATACTGCCTCTATTAGATTCTTTACATCTTCAGGATAGGTGGTTGTAGATTGTTTAATCAAAGCATGTACAGTAAATGCAAGGTCTCTATAAAGATTGGCTTTCCTTCCTTTTAGCTCGACTTGTATACCCGTCTTGTGACTACAGTTCATACTGCGGTGCCAGTGATGCATTTTAAACAGCTTTTCTTAGACCTGTCTATAATAACACATTTTTCAACCTCTGACTTTTTTTAACTAGCAGCATAGCTGCTGTTACAAGCAGGAGCTCGGAGATCAGGTTATCTGTTGCACGTCTTACAAAGGGGGGGGCGTGGCGTCTTTCAGTTTCTCGCAAGTGCTTTTGTTTTTGTCATATTTGTGTGTCAGGAGGGGACATCTTTAGAAAGTGGTTTTTAAACCAGAGTGGAAATAACTAGCAGTAGGTACGTACGTTTATGTTCTGTAACTGCAGACATAAAATGGGAGACGGGATGAAACACCCTCCTAAATCTACACTGTATATTTTAAGCTAGCTGTTATTTTCTCACTTAAGGTTTTTTTTTTCTGTGTTATTCTTGTATTTATTTTCAATTTGTTTTATTCATAGTGCTGAATCTGATATACAGTTTAAATGAATCAAATAGATGCGTAAACCGTCATTCGGTTCAGTTTTCGGCTGGTTTCTGTATTATGAAGAAGTTGGCGTCAGATTTCACATTCAGATTCACATTGATCAGGAAAAACTAGACCATCTTTATTGGGTTAGAACACCAAAAGGGCCTGTTATCTTGAAATTTGGATGAGTTCAATTACAAATTCATTATAAATAAACAATTTGTTGTTACCTATCATTAATAAAATAGAGAAAAAAAAATTCAGAAAAGAATTGCTCTGGATATTATTCCCAGTATCCTCTGGGCAGATTAGACCATCCTCTTATCAGCTATATTTCTTGTGGGTAATAAACCTAAGGAAGGTTAACTTAGCATCAATGGTCCTCTTCTTCTGCTGAGCAGCGTTGTAGACTTTTCGGCATGCGTTCCACAGTGTGACCGCGCCGTTACTTGTATGCTTATGCAAGATGGTTGATCTGCTTACATCATGCTGTAGACGTTGGCATCCTTGCTGCCGTCAGTCAAAGAGTTTATCGTGTTACCAGTAAATCAGGCCTATATGTTTGGCACATTTTCACATTATGTTTCTAATCCCTGTCAAGCATATGAAGCAGCAGGAGTGTTCTTACTCATGATGTAACTCCTGATATAGCTTAATATGTAACTCATCACTGTGGGGCAATTAGGTTAGTAAAGCTATATAATTAAAGCGATCAATTCTCCTATTTGCTGCTATTGACAGTTATATTTAATTTAGTATACTTTAGTAGAGGTTTCTGGTCCATGTTGAGTTTATACATCAGGAAATCAAGTGATTTTGTGTCTTTTTATATTTTGATGTGATTTTATTTTTTCTCACTTAAGCTTTTATATAAAATGGCTTGTTTACTACAGATACATTTGACTGATGAAAATGAGCTACTAATGATTTTCCAGTTTAAGCCAGCTCACACTAGTCTTTGTTTGCTAGTCATTTTTTTTTAGAATTTAGCTGTTGTGTAATGGTGAAGATGACCAGACACATGTTTGTGTACAAATCAGATTTACTGCAGGGTTTTACAGATTAGACACACATGCTGCAATCAGTGAGTTTTTGTTTTTGTTTTTTGTAAATTGATCCATCTGACTAAAGCAGCTTTGACGGTCTGTTGGTGATTTGTGGTTTGGATCGATTGCTAAAGGTTTCCCATCCTCGTGATTTAAGGGCAAACGCTCATATAATCCCATAAGGAGGTTAAACTCTAATCGCCATCACATGCT